GACTATTATAATCAGCAATGAAAATATTATTAAATGCTACATGACATTTAATCTGCGATTATATAATAATATAATTTCCTTTTATCTAAACTCCTGTTATTAAATTATAGATACATTCTAAGCTAATGCATACAGAAGCTTTAGTAAAATTTGCCTGTAAAAGCGCTGCCTACTTTTGGAAAATAATTACATGTATAATTCAATAACCCTAGGACAACGGTTAATTAAAGATTACGTCCAATCTGAACTGCCGAAAATCCTTCATAGATGTGTAGGTAAGTTTTTTCGATAAATCTGAAAATAAGGTCAATGCTTCCTATCGGTTGGTGCTATGAAAACTAGTTAGAAAGTATATGATATATGATATTGGGCTAAACAACCGCACCGTGATTTCTGCTTTCTGCAGACTGAATAAGGAAGTGAAGGATATGGGTCTGGTAGTGAACGAGGGCAAGAAGAAATATCTCCTGTCATCAAACAAACAGTTGAAGTCGGAGATAATAATATCTATCTGGGAACTAGCATTAACACCAATCTTGAAATCCAGCGCAGAATCACTTTTGCTAACAGCTGCTACTTTGGATTGAGAAGGCAGCAAAAAAGTAAAGTCCTCTCTTGACGAACACAAACCACACTCTCTGCGATAAGGTGCGGAAGCATGGACAGCATTGCCAATGCCGAATATCGCCGACGATGGAACGATGAGCTGTAGGAGTTATACGACGACATTGATATAGTTCAGCGAATCAAGTAGCAGCGGCTAAGCTGGCTCTGTAATGTGGTCCGGATGGATGCGAATATCCCAGCTGTGAAAGTTTTCGATGCAGTACCCGTCGGTGGAAGCAGAGGAAGAGGAAGAACTGCACTTCCGTTGGAAAGAGCAGGTGGGGAAGGATTTGGCTGTACTTGGTATTTCCAATTGATGCTAAACAGTTAAAGGAATAAACGAATGGCGCAATCGTGTAAGCGATGTCCACGCCAGTAAAGTAAGGCAAGTAAAATGTTAATTAAAAAATTAGTTAAAAGTTTATTTAAAAGTACATTGAGCGGGTTTATTTGAAAGTTAGAAACTAATGATTACAGCTCTATATGAGTCCGTAATATATTTATTAAAAATAACAAATTACTGTAAGTTATAATTGTGACTGGTCAGTGAAAACATTAAGGCTTTGCATCTACGCACCTTCATCGAAACTGCTTTCGACATGCCCTCTGAGTTTGATATCCCAGAAAATGTATACGGATGTGAAAATTTACGCTGAACAACATCCGACTGGATAAGGAAGCTACAAAATTGGGTCTGAGGGTGGACAAAATATCTCAAATCTTATCAAACGAACCAACATCGTATTCAGTCCCCAACTGCTATCATTGGCATTCACAATTTTGAAGTCGTCTACAAGGAACACAATGACTTCTTCTAACAGTTGCCATTTTGGACTGAACAGACAACTGGGAATGAAAGCACTCTCTCAAGTCATTAAACATTATCTCTTTTCTTTACAATGCAGAAGAGTAGACGTTGATAATATCTACTTATTTCGCATTTGGAGTCTCCCAGAAAAAAATTCTGTGAAGACTTATTGTTTTATGCCTATGGGCGGCCGCATATACAGGAGGCCATGTGGATTGACGAAAACTGCCTACGGTTGCAAAAGTCCGTCCGTCTTCGTTTGGTTTTTTATTTTTTATTGAATCTTTCTTTTTAGGAAACTAACAATAATTTCGAAACTCTTAAAGCTAATTTTTATTCCTAGAACTAGTTAATCATTACCACTGTATAGATCAAAAAAATAAGCAAAGTACAATAAATTACGAATATAACTTAGATTTATCAAAGAATGTGTTTATATATAGATATCATTAGGGATACCAAACATTCATGTTTAAAATTTAACAAAAGATATATCATAAAGGATAATTTGAAGTAATTTATAATATCATGAAGGATATATGCGGAGCACAAATCCGATGTGAAATAATTGAATGCGGCGGAGCCTTTAGTCACGGTTCAAACGTGAATCCTTTCTCTTTAATCGCTTAGGGTTTTTGGCTAGAAAGTTTGGGTGGTTAGATAACCTTACTGAGTAATTTTCAAGCAGTTCCTCTATCTCCGCGGTGACGTTTTTAATTCCGAGATTGTTGTGAATTGTGGAGTTTTTATATACTTCATTTGGTGTCTCCAACTGCTCATATAATATAAACACAGTTGAAAAAACTCTTTGAATTCTCTCATTTAAATTGCTACACTGTTTTATATATTATATGTATGTATGTAACATACACTGCATACATAAATCGGCTTCACCATTGGAAAACTTAAAACTTAACACACAAATTTATGTAAATTAAAATAGCTTTCTTCGCAACTGTGGGTAACAATAATTCAAGCAACAACAGCAAAAGTGAAAACATGTTGTACGATGAAAATTTTGAAATTCGGCTTGATGTTATTGTTTTGGAAAGTTTAGAAAAGCAAAATATTTTAGAAGCAACAACTTGAAAATATAAACTTTTTCCGTTTCCCTCGATCCCCTTAACACTTTCAGACACGTCTTCTTAATATTACAAGCTTTACAAAATATTTATCGATTAAGGTGTGGAAGCGTAACTTTTCATGAAGAGAGAGCGCCGTGGACTCACTCTCAGTAGTTGGTGCTGCCATCCATTTCGACAGACTTAAGATTTATGAGCGACTAAGGCAAGGGCTGAGTAACGGAAAACTATTTTTCCAACAGCATGGCGGAGGCTGGTCAGGGGGTTGGTAGACACTGTTTATTGCTACAATTTGGTGTTAATAGTGACGATCCAAAACATTAACGCACAAAGTAGTGGCTCATATACTCATATTGTGTGTGCGTGTAAGTGTGCCTGTGTTTCACAACACAACAAACCGAAAACAATAACACCAACAGTGACAAAAACAAAAAAAAAAAATAAAAAAAAAAAATAACAAGGATTGTAATGTCGTGTTCATAAAGGACCGACTGAAGACTTTGCACTGGAAGCCTGACTTCATTAACATAAAACGGATGGATAACATGCAGATGTTTCCAAAGCGCAAAACAAGCAAACCGCCACAACGCCTACACGAATGAAGATGAGCATGAAGAGTACAAAACTGGAAATGTAGCGAAGTGCGTGGAGAAGTGGCCATAACTTTTAAGGATTTACCTAGGATACAAAAACACGTGAATTTGCACGTCGCCAAGCTGATGGCACACAAACCGCTGCAAGACGTATTGCTCTGATGATGGCCTGAGTGTGAGAAAAACAAGAAGAGGAGTATACAATTTAGAGAAAAAAATGTGTATGAAGGACAAAAAGATTTATGGTCTTGTAAGGCATTGGAGCGTTTTTGGATAATCTGCGGTTGTGTGGCAAGCGTAGCAGATTTACAGGTCGGAAACTGTGTACCTGTGTTGTTTTGAAAAAAAAAAGCGTACAAGACGAATGGCATTGGACCGGAAATGTTTGCGAGTGTCATAAAGTGGCTGAAAGCGGACTGAATTTGTAGGAAATCATTTATGTATGTATTAATATAATTTTTTTTTTGTTTTTCTGAAATATATGCAGGTATGAATCCAAGAACGATTAAACTTTTCATAATGAGAGATCTGGGTTAAGTAATAAATACAGAACGTAGAACGTAGTGCTAGACGATTTTCGGCCGACGAACTCTAATTGTGAAGTGCACCTTGATGTTTTCCCGACAAATGGAAAGACCTACATTTTATTCTAAGTACCCTGCAAACGGCTGATGGTAAGAGGGTTTATTTTTATCCAGTCTGTCCATAAAAATCCTAAAAAAAATTATATGAAACCGGTTGAGAATCAGACGGTGTTCTTATCTCGTGATGTGATTTCATGTGAGGTAATTTTTCTTATTTTTAATTTCACTCTTCTACAGCCTTATTTTAAATTATCTCATTGCATGAAGAATGTAAGGTCCAAATTTGGTTTTGGCTCACCAGAAAATTTTTCTTCAGAGTAGATTATAGTTCGAACTGCCAGAGTGAAATTTATGGACTATCCGTCCGATGCAATATAGGGTCCTTTCCGAGCATTCTTGCATGTTTTTTGCTGGCATGACGTCAAGGTAATGGCTCCCATTTCTAAGTCGATTGCTATCTTATTTGTCACATCAAACGTCATATAAACGAAATTTGTGTGTCAAGAGGTTTATAAGTAATCGAATTAACGTGTGTGTCTGCGTTTAGTTATACAAACAAACTTCACCCCCCAACGCCAACCCGCCGGTGAGTCATAATGGTAGCCAACAGTTGACCGTTATAATTGGCATGCATTGCATTGTAGATATTACTACAGTCAAGTGGAAAAGCTTACTTTCTGGTTGGAAAAACTAATACGCACACACACACACACACACACACACACACACGCACATACATTTAGGGAAGGTAGAGTATGCGTTCCTAGCAAACCGCACTGAGTTGACATGGAAAACCGAATAAAAATGTACAATTTGCAAAGGATGTAAGTGAATATACTCGCATACATGCAGCGCATGTAGCGGTGGCAGCTGCAAAATTAACAGCTTGACAAAATGTCAGCTCGACTGTGGATGCGTGAAAAGTTTAAAGTTATTTTCCAACCATATTATGTGGCATATGGTAAGCCGGTGTCCTGTGGTCCTTTACAGAGTGGGCATAATTTCTAGTCATTCATATTTAGACCTTAATGCCATACAATTTCGCTTTTTATGCCATACCATTCGGTTAAGGCAAGCTAATTATATTTGTCATTTGTCAGAAAATGCTCAGATTTCTATTTTAATTTGGCCAATTGTGAACGGAATTTTCAGTACTTTTGTATAAGACTTTTTACTCTTTGAGTAATTATGAATTATAAGTTTATTAACAGAAAATATAAAATAAATAAAAAAAAAAGAAATGTTGAATTAATTATGAGCAAAAAATGATGACTTCACTCATGCAGGTATCTTTATGTAAAGACGTTTCTTGAATATATCATTTAATTCTTAAATACTTTATATTTCTTCAAACTAAATAAATCCTTCATTTAATTGCTTGATTGTGAGAATTCTGACAGTAAATTATTTATTGCATGAATAGAATAAAAATATGTTGCGAGGGAAAGATTTTATGGCAATACCAGTATCACATATATCCTCTGATGTTGTTTATCACCATTTTAATGCCCTTAAGCGCTCACTCACATGCGGTCCTAGTTCCTACTAGAGTAGTTACATTTTGTGCTGAATCTCTATATATACCATATACCCATTCAGTGTCATCAATTATAGACATCTCACAACATGGGTTTTGCAATCGAACCTGCTAGATTTCACCACCCATGTCAGCAATGGTTTCAAAAATGGTAATCAAACAGATCTTATCTACACTGACTTCAGCAAAGCATTTGACAAGGTCTCGCATTCTTTACTTCACTTTAAACTCGATCATTTCGGGTTTCCACCTTCTCTTCTGAAATGGCAGAAAACAAAAAGGAATTTTTAAAAATTGTATATCACGTGAACTAGCAGTAACATCTGGTGTTCTTCAAGGCAGTCACCTCGGTCCCTTACTCTTACTTATATTAATCAATGACCTTCCAAATGTTGTTCTTCATTCTAAAATACTCATGTACGCAGATGATATCAATTTAGTTAGGTGGTGCGATGCGAACTGTATGTGCCTAAATTTAAATAAGTGCAAATATATGTATTTATTTCTCTAGAAAATCTTTCCAATCCTTTGCCTATATGATACATAATCACAATGTTGAGCAAGCTACTGACTTCAATGATTAAGGTGTCACAATGGACCCTGAGCTAGATTGCAGAAATCATATAAATGCTTGTGCTAGTAAGGCAAAACGAGTTTTAGCTTTCATTAAACGTTGAGCTAAGGAATTCAGGACGCATAACTTACCAAATTGCTCTTTACCTCATTTGTTAGGCCCATTTTGGGATATGGTTCAGTTGTATGGAGTACGTACTATCAAATGTGTAATGATAAATTGGAATCTGTACAAAAGCAACTCCCATTATTCGCTAAAAGAAATTTAAACTGGTATGCGAACAAGAACCTGCCTTCTTACAAAAGTCGTTTGCGGCTTATTAATCTGCCTACACTCCACTCAAAAAAATTTCCAATCGATATCTCAAATAGTTTTTGAGTTATAGCAATTTAAAAAGCAGCCGATCGGCAGCTATAGAGTCTCATTAGCTACGAGTGAAAACGATTATTTTATCTTTAATCGCGTTTTTCTCGAAACAGCACTTTCCGAATTTGCTGCAGTGATTACTCAAACACAAATGATCCGATCACTATCGAATTTGTTTTACATGTTCTATATATAGTTCTTCGTACAATGACCTATCGATTTTTGATCTGATCAAAAAATCGAATTTTGGCAGGCCAAAAACGACCAAAATTTTGGGTAAAATTTGACTATTTTTTTTTTTTAAACGCCGCCATATTGTCAATTTTTGATTTTGTTTTATCATAGGTCATTGTACAGACAATGTTATCTAGTCGAGAATTTTTTTTTTAGATTGCATCCACGGAGTAACCATCTGCATCTGAAATAGTCCGATCAAAATACGTTGAAAAAAAGCTAGTTTAAATACAACTTTTGTCCAATTTTTTTTTTAGTTCAAATAGAAGATAATTTAATAATGAAGTTCCCTTTTTTCGATCGGACATATATTTTTTTTTGTTATCACCGGCACCGTTTTCTCAGACTTGTAAAAGTGAAAACCCAAGAAAACGCGCTTCAAAGCCTGCCTGAGCATTCGAACCTCGGCGCTCGGCAACTAAATCTGCTCTAGCTTCTAAAATATTGATTCGTTTAAATATCTCAAAACCGAAAATATTAGATTTTGTCGATACACACAAGAAGACAAAAAGATTGATGGCGGGCAGAATGGCATGAATAGATCGACTTTGATCATCTTGTTTTTTATGGATATATCCTTCTTCTTTCGGCAATTACATACCAAGTCAGACCGGGGTTAATATACAAATTCCTGCTCATGAATTTTTAAGCTGGAAACGTTTGAGTCAAAAATTATTTGAAAGCGGAAGCCTAAGATGTTGTGAGGAATATAAATTGGCGTATGTGTTAATCATTATTCAGCCCATAAAGTTAAATATTATCCATTTGATTTCTCAGATGAATTTAATTTATTGTTCAAACAAAACAGTTAGACAGTTTTAACAGATAATAAATGAATTTCCGAAATTATGTTGTATTTCGTTGAGAATTGGTGATTATATTAATAATATAATTCTGATACATAACAACTTTGGTTAAATAGCACTTAGTATAATTCAGCCACAGAAATGGGAGACAAAATATCCTTGCCACTGATAAAAAAGAGGAGATAATTTTTTCTTGTATTTTTTCATAAACTGTTTTGAAATTAAATTCTCAAACTCAACGTGCACCATCTGACAGATCATCTGTTTTAAGCCTCTGGACTTCTTTTTGTAAGCCTCGAACTATTGATGAGCCCAAGGCAAACATTCATGCTGAAATCGGCGCTATAACACCCGAGATGCTCGGAAAGGTAATGGAAAATGCAGAAAAAAGGAGGCATTTTGTAATTGCCAATTAAGGTAACCACTTGATTGATGTTGTTTGCAAAAACTAGTCCAAAAAACTTGTAAGGAACCAAACTGAATAAAAATAAATCACTTAAAAAATCGGTTGTTTTTCTCAAAGTTATGTTTACATACTGACATAAAAGATGTAGCACCCTGTATAATGTCAACTCAATTTCGTAAAGAAACGCTACAAGAACTTCAAAGAGGTTGAATACTTGGAAAGAAGAAGAAACAACAATCCCCCATTTTACAAAAATTTTCCTTTGGGTATTTCAGACCATCTATATTTTTTTGGAAATTGTTAAAAAATTACAACAATAGTTTTGGACGGTAGAAGTAATAGCTGACACTCATCAGACTTCTTTTTCCAGACACCTTTTTTCGAATAGGATTTGAACTTAGGATGCCCACAGCACGAGCCAATGGTTATCCCTTTAAGCTACATGTGTGCCGCTTTTACTTATTGTTGTTTTTCACTTTTCCTTTTATCTGCATATCCACGACCAAGTGCTCAGATATTCTATAGCTGTAAACTTAGCACGATGTAGTTGTTTTTGCGAGTAATTAACCAACAAAAATTTTAAGGCAACGCCGTTTTCGTTTTAATATTTTTGAAATAGCCTTCGGAGAACTCAATGTCTATCACTCTAAATCACAGGAACAAATTTCTCTGGCTTCAATTAAAAAGGTTTACTGCGAAAGTATTTAATACTTACATTGAAGCATTCCTATAAATGATTAATTAGAATAATTTAAGCTCACCTGAAAAGAAAAGAGAAGAAAATACCAGTTAAATAATTTTTAATAAGAAAATTAATTGAAATATTTTTGCATAAATTAATTTGAGTTTATTAGCAACTTACAGTGGCGAAATTTATAGAAAATCTCATATAATAGTTATTAGGGTGAATGCATTACTTTACTGAGTACAATACATAGTTCTCTGTATGTAGATATACGAATGGGGATGTAACTATATACATTTGTAAATGCGATTTTGATGAATAAATTATTTCGTCTGGCTATGAATTGGCGCCAGTAGTTGTACCTAGAAGAATACTTCTTGAATGCAATGTACTTGCACTCAGTTTGTACAGGTATGCGTGAACATTAGGGTGGTGCAAAAACAATTTTAAAAATGGTTTATAATTAATACAAAAATGCCTAAGCTGAAAACTGAATGCAAGCCTAAGCCAATATGCCAATATTTAAAGAATGTAAACATTTTTTTTTTCTGTACCCTGTGGTAGAAATATCTAAATTTTACCACCCTGGTGTATGTGTAACTTAGATATACAAACATATGCCAAGTAAAAAAACTACAAATGAATTTATTTACTTCTCTATTCTTCGCAAAAGTCAAATGTCACTACAGTTATTTGATGTGATCACTCGCTCAATAATTCTACTATCATATATACGGCAGATGGAGGGGGAGGTGGAAATGCTCAGCAGTGGTTATGAGGGAGGCAGTATGTCTATGTCAAGACGAAAGTCTCGTGCGCGTTTTATGATTGACAGCGGAGATATCTAATATTAATATTCGTATTAAATTTGTACGAAATGAAAGAGTCATCGATGTGCATAAGATACCATTATATGTATGTATGGCTGTAAGTGTTTACGTATATATGAGTGTACAAATGATAACTCGATTGACTTTTTATTACTTTGGAGTTCACGAATCGCATGCAATACAGCAATCAATGCAAAACTTCTACTGTTCATTTCTACATATTTGACATTTATATTAAATGTATGTAATGTATGTATGTAAATGTATGTGTCGGAATATTGAACGCATACAATGCCATATCGATATAATAACAAGAGCCAATAACGTCATTTGGAACACTTTGTAGGAAATCATTTTTAAATCTGCACTGAAAATTTAATAAACCAAATATTTACTACTAGGAAAGCATGTAAAACTCATCCCATATATGTATATAAAAAAAACGTCAAAAACGCTTAAAAAATGATAAAAATCAAGGATGTGGGTGCCAAGGGCAAAAAGATTATGATTTTGAGTAAGACTTGGAAGAATAGATACCTTCGGATGGGACCGAATATTTAACAGGGACGGAGTGGCTTCCCTGCGAGCTCTCATGCGGAATATTGCGGGTTCGAACCTGGCTGAGAGAAAAAACCAATATAGTAGAAAAATATTTAAGCCAAAATACAAAAGAAAAATAATAATTTTTCAAATCCGCAGGGAGCGCCAGGCCCTTCGAGAATATTTCTACATCAAATAAAGACCTCCTCATAAGAATCCATCAGTCGTTCGGGACGGCTGTAGGCATGTTCATTTATAGGAACAGCATCGAGACGGGCACCAGAAATTGTATACATATAATAATATAATTTGTTGTAAATAAGTGTATTTGCTAAGTAAGCAACCCTACATACATACATATATGTCGGAGTGGTATCTTTGATAAAGCTCAGCGAATTAAAAGACAACGTCTACGCTTTGGTCACGTCGTTCGGATGAACAAGCAGAATCCAAATCTTATTTTTTTTTTAGTTAACTAATTTTTTTGCATTATTTTTTTACATGGAATCATTGAAATTAATGCGAAATACTTAAATATTTATGAATGCCGTTAATTATTAATTACTAAAATATACAAATATGCAGACGTATACTTATATATACTTACGTATATGTTTTTATAATTCCTCTCATGTGGAAAATGAGAAAAAATAATCTCATGAAATATTTACAAAGATATGTCTGTATGTATGTATATATAAGTATATACAGTGATTCTCAGGCCATGAAATACATCGCTGTCTAACAGTGCACACTCTTATACATGAACATATAAACACTCTTAAGCATACAAACTTTCGTAAAAAAAATTTATATA